GTGAGTGGGTTCAATCTTTATCTTTTCTTCTTATTGGAATCACATTTTGAGATTTTTTTTTAACTGAAGTATCGCTGATTTACAATGTTGTGTTAGTTTCTGGTGCACAGCACAGTGATTCAGTTATACATATACATATATATTCTTTTTCATTTATAGGTTATTACAAGCTATTAAATATAGTTCCCCGTGCAATACAGTAGGACCTTGTTGTTTACCTATTCTGTATATAGTAGCTTGTATCTGCTAACATACTGAGTTTTTAAGTTGTAAATGTCTGATCAGGATCATCGTCGGCATATACGGAGCCTACAGCAGGATATGAATGGAGGCCCACGTACTGTAGGTCTAAATATTTAAGAATTTAAAGTAAGCAATACTCAAGCCCTGGTCCTTGTTTTCACCCAAGGTCTGCAGCCTGTCCCAAAGGACTGCTCTGGGCCTAGAGGCTAAAAAAGTCCCTTCTCCTTGACGGCCACCCTGCCACTGGGGGCCACCAGGAGGAGAGTAGGATGGATACTGGCCTCAGCCAGGGACCCCAGGCAATGGCTGACCTGCCTCCACTGAGGACGGGGATGACCCAGTAAATCTCATCAGGTTTCAGGAAACCTGCAAGGTTCTCTTACTTCATGCCTCATTTTTCTGACTCAGGATTGCCAGGCAGTTCTAAGTACCACCCAGAACATCACCTGCCCACGGCACCCATGTCCCAAGCAGAGGGGAGGGCAGGAGCACCGTTACCCAGAGGAACGCCATCTCCTGCACATCCTTCCACTTTGGGGTTGGGGGGCTACCTTGAAACTAAAGCAGTTTCTTTTTCTCTCTGGTTTCAAAGGGCACAGGCTGATCTTTGATCACCCAGCCCAACCCCACCCCACTCGACCAGGGGGCCCAATCCAGCTGCTCTGTTCCTCTCCAACATTTTGTGTGTGCTCAACTGGTTATCAGACTTTACACATGAAGATGAAAAGCAAAAAAAAAAAAAAAAAAAAAAACGGGGTTGCTATTTCTGTGCTTGTGATGTTCGGGGTCTTCCAAAGCATATGAACTCTCTTGGCCTGGTTTAACAGTTATGCCACGTCTGAATCCAACCACTGACCCAGAATTTCTTGGCGGGGGAGGTGTGGGTGGGGTCTCAAGGCCTGTGCTAACAACGTTCCACTGGTGACTATAGTGCAGAGGCAGGGTAAAATCGGGGAGGCATTTCTGTTTAATTATTGTTCTTCGGCAGAGGAGAGATGCCAGGTCACTGGGATTTTGGCAAGTGCAGTGGAACAGAACGATGAATGGAATGGCGCCAGAGCAGGAGGGCCGAGCAGGTGAGATGAGGGCCCGAGGAAGCAGGGCCCAAGGGCTGGGCGTCGGGGGAGAAGCTGGGCGGCTGGGGCTACCGGAGATCCCATCAGAAGTGCAGGTATTCGCGGCAGAAGGAGCAGAGGCTGACTCTCAGGTTTCCAGCTTGTTAGGAGGTGAACTGACTCCAAACAGGTATGTCACAGTCCTAACTCCTGGTACCTGTGAATGTGACCTTGTTTGGGAACACAGCCTCTGCAGATGTAATCAAGATGACGTCATGGCTGATGTCCTCATAAGAGGAAAGACACAGAGGGAGCACAGCCATGTGTCGACGAAGGCAGAGACGGAAGAGATGGAGCTCAAAGCCGAGGACCCCCGAGGCTGCCTGCAGCCATCAGAAGCCTCCTCCCCTGCAGGTTCCAGGGAGAACCCGGCCCTGTGGCGATACCTTTGATTTTGAACTTCTGGCCTTCAGAAGCGAGAGACAACACATGTGTGTGTTTGAAAGCACCCAGTTTGTGATCGTTTTTTCAGAGCACTCCCAGGAAACGAACACACAGCTGTGAGAGCAGCCGATGGCGTTGGCTCTCTGGGCGGGGCCATCAGCAAAGGCAAACGTGCCTCACAGGCAGCGCCTGAACTGGGAAAATGTTCCCCACAACACGCACATCCAACCCCCGAGAAACGGAGCCCCGTATTCAGTGTCCCTCTTTGTCACCAAGCTGTATAAACACAAAGTATGAATTCACTCTGGGTTTCAACGGTCTATTATCCAAAAAGGCACAAACAGAAGGTATCAATTTACTACGGATTTCAATTGCCTAGGCCCTATAGAAGAAGGCAGTTTCCACGATTTAAGGGAAGAGCGTTTATATTCAGTTTTCCCATTCTCATACTGACCATAGTCTACTTTGGTTTTGAAGGTATGCTGAGAAGGATCTTAAGGTATTATCTTTCATCTACCATAGTCAAAATGATTCAGAAAAACCTGGAGGAGATTTTCATCTCTATGAGGAACATTTTTCAGAGAGGAAATTGTTGCGGTGTTGAACTGCCAAAGAGACAGCTGAAAAAAAATGGGTCACGCAGTCATCTCATTCTGGGACATAAGCTGCCAAGCGATTCACTGCTCATTTCTGTCCTCTTCTCGTAAACAAGCTGCGTGAACAAGTTACTTTAAAAAAGCATCCTGATTTCCCCAGTGAATTACACAGGCAAAGAATCCAAGGTTCCCTCCAGAGAACTCAAATAGTTGTTTGTTCTCAGTGCTCAGGTGTGGTAAAAGAGCTGCGGGCTAAAAATGCTGCATATTGGCTGGTAGGCTAGAAACTTCCCTCCACTCCAGCCCTGATTCCTCACGTTGGTCTGCAGCTCGTAGCTTGCCCAATGGCATAGGAAAAAAAAAAAAAGGAAAAATAAAGACTTGCTTTTCAATTTCAATTTAATTACACAATCTATAATGCCTAGTGGGAAGGATTTAGGGGCAAGGTGGACGCTCAGCAGCGCTCCATTGCACATTCCTTTCTGATAAAGAACCCTGCATTGATTATCTAAGGTGAATACATAGAAATGTTTTTCAAAAGCCAAATCCTTTGGGTGGCAGAGTGTTTTAAAGAAGGGGAGCATGGGGTCAAGAGGTACAAACTTGCAGTTATAAAGCCAATCAGTCATGGATGCAATGTACAGCATGGCGACCATAGTCAATACTGCTGTACACATGAAAGTTGCTAAGAGAGTAAATCTTGAAGCCATCACTAGAAAAAAAAAGTTTTGTAACTTTGGATGGTGACAGATGGTAATTAGACTTACTACAGAGATCATTTCACAGCGTATATAAATATGGAATCATTATGTTGTCCACCTGAAACTAATGTATGTTATATGTCAATCATATCTCAATTAAAAAAAATTAATAAGGAATTGGCTTCACTTCTTGGCTCTTTGCCAGACTTTGGATAAATTAGAGGTGTAAGATGCCTCTTTGAATTGTATTCCTGGTGCCTTCTTGAGAGTCGGGGGCAACTCCCTACTTGGAAGAAGAAAGGATAGACATTCCACTGTAGAATTAGAAACACCAGCTGGCAGACACTGACTGAACAACAACACAATTATCTGTTTTGAGAATGACTGTGTAATGAATATACTTAAGACCCTTACCTCTTAAAGTCAAGTCCAAAGAATTTCACTCTCTGACTGGGACTGGAAACCATTATGACTTTATCTGGTACCAAATCAATGTTTAAGATTATGAGTAAATATTTGGTGTTCTACTTTGGTGTCTACATACTCTTATTAGTTTGGCCAAGGGTAAAAAGAAGGAAAGTACAGGAAATGAAAATTAGCTCCAAAGGAATGGTGTTAATATATTTTTCGACCAACTAACTGCTTTACCTTGTTAAGTTAATAAAGAAAAAAGGCTTCTTTATAAGGCAAAAGTATTCCCTACGTGACTTTAAATAAATAAAAATGGTAGGATTAACTTTACTGGTTATCTGTTGCTCAGCCTTACCAAACCACTTGAGTATGTACAAAGAGCTGAAAATACAATGTCAAAGATACAAAGCACAAAAGGCAAATAAACTCTTTGAAATGGCTCGCTGACTTTAGCATTGCACAGTGACGCCATTCCGAAGTATTAACATGGCTGCTAGGAAGAGTCAATGTTTACAATTATATTCAAAAGCGAAATGGTACCCAGTAAGCATTACATTTTGCCTGCTACTGAATCTGCGGTCTAGTATTTTAGGCAAATGAATGAATAATTTTTACAGTTTGATGAATTACAGGGCATCTGGCACAGATTAGGTAAAGCTAGAGCTTAATTTGGTTGGAATGACAATGGAGACTAGAACTGGAATTTATTTTGAAGGGCATCAGACGGCTCTGAAACACGTAGCCTTGACTGGTATAAATGCAGATGTACCATGCTTCTCCTTGGCGAGCGTGAGTTATAATTGACGCCATAGGAGAACAACAGAAAAAGACACGGAGACTTTTGTGTCTCTGCCCGAGGCCCACATCTACATTCCGAGTCTAGTGGAAGGCGCAGCCTTCAGAGAGGCAGCAGCCAGACTGGCCTGTGGGAGGAGGGTGGGGAAGGGCAACACAGGCTGAACTTGGTTTGTATGTGTGGCTGCGTGCGTCAAACCCCTCAAACAGTTGTACAGAATGACTCCATCTACTGGTAAATATAAAAGAAAAAAAATCAGTAAAAAGGGAAGCAGGCAGGAAGACACTGGTTCAGTGTACACAGAAATCAAAGGCTGGAATGGAAAATCAACTTGCGTGTTTCCATCACTGGGAGTTTAGTTCTTAACTGTTTGGGATGGAGTGACTGGGTGAATTAGAACTTCAGAAAATCACGGAGGAGCCTTACCTTAGTTAAGGGAGACGTACATAAAAGTATCTATTTGCTGCCATGAGAGTATCCATGCAGAGGTCACCATTTGCCCAGAGACACTTATGTGTTAGAACTGCCTCCCCACCTTGGGGAGGTGCGTGTGGAGGGAAGGAGTGAGGTGGGAGGGACAAGGAAAGTGCATGATCATCCACATATGACCCATTTATTTGTTCTCAGAAACAATAACCATATGTCGCTCATATCCAATACCTAGCAATGCTCTTTTTAAAATATTTACAAATGCTTGATTATTAACATTTAAAGTAAAATTCTATATTACAGTTTATGAGAAGTGAGGAAATACCTGGTTGGTGATATATTCCTGGATTTTTTCTCTAGTCACTGAAAGAGAAAGCAAAAAAAATTTAACATTAAAGTATGAAAATGAATAAAAATACAGTACTGGTCTTGCTCTGTTCTCACTCAAAACTCCATCAGCTGTCATGGACTCTCTGAGCAAAGATGTGTACCACAATAGAGACATTTACCATCACTCCAATAATTGGAATGAAAAAAATCAAAACCGAAATAACTACATCAGGCAAGGATAATAGAAAATTGAGTGGAAATCTGGGAAGGGAGATATCAGAAGAATGTATTAAACTCTGGCAGAGAAATGGTAAAGAGATGAGAAGGTCAGAAGAAAAATCTGAACCACAGCCAGTCAAAGGTTTCCAAACAATGACAACCTGTTCCAGCACAATACTGACGCTGAGCTCATGGAAGCTTGAGGACAAGACAAGATTTAAAGTGGCGGATGGCAGAACGGCTACTTTTCTCTTGCCTATGAAGATGAGAAACACATTCCTATGCTTTTGGTACCACCAGAGACTAAAACACAAACCAACAGTTCTATAAATGGTATCTTGGTCAGGACAGAAACATATCAGGGTAACGTATGAAAAGCAACAGAGGGGTACAAATAATGAAGACTTTAAAATAATAAACCTCAGTCATGGCAAAAATAGCTTGAAAGTGATCAATATCATGTATGTCTTAAAGACAAGGGAAAAAAATCCACAGTCATAACGGATCACCAACAAACCACCAGAAAGAGAGGAAAGAAGAAATTTTGTGGGCCCATCGTTATGTGCTTGTGAACATCTTGTTGTGATATGCACACTTTATTAAACCTGTCCTTTTAAGGTTTTCATTAAGATAATTGTGTAGTCATGTGCATTTGTAAGAAATAATACAGACAGGTCCCAGGTACCCTTTACCCTGTCTTCTCCACCGGTGACATCTACAAGATCTGTACTACAGTGGTATCACGACCAGGACACTGACATCGACACAGTTGAGACACAGAACACTTTCACCACCACAAGGGTCCCTCACATCGCCCTTTGATAGTCACAGCCATCCCACATGCAGCCCGCACCCCCTTCTTAACTCCTGGCAACCGCTAATCTCTTCTCCATTGCTATCATTTTCTCATTTCAAGAATGTTGTGTAAATGGAATCATACATTTTATAACCTTTTGGGACAAGATTTCCTTGTCCCAAATTCCCAATTCAGCATAATTCTCTGGAAAGTCATCCAGGCTGCTGTGAGCATTC